TCCTACTCCCCCCCCTACCTCATAGACGATAGTACGGATCTATCAGCTTTCGTTACCCCCGATCCACAACCCGTGCTTTGTTAATCCTCCCCCCCTAACACCATTCGGGCGTTTCCATCTCCCCAAGTCCCCCCATCCTAGCCTGCGCCCTTGTCAGCGGCACCCCCGTACTCGGCGGCAGCGGCGGCGCACTCATCATTTCAACATCCTCATCCCCATCCCCACCCTGCACAGGCGTTTGCTGTCCCTGAAAAGACAAGCTCACCTGTCTAGCTTGCTGTTGCGCTCTCGCATAGTACGATATCTCCTCCTCTTCTTCCGACTCCGATTGTTGAGGCAATGGTGGCGGGGAGGGAGGAGAAGAAGAAGGAATAACCCGTCTTCTCGTCTCAGGGACGCCAAGCGATCGACGCTCCTCCCTATCCCGACGAGCAACAAACCGGGCTTGGATCCGCTCCTTCTCCGCCAGGCGGTCCTCGTAGTCGGCTATGTCTTCGGGGGTGATCGTTAGGGTTGTCAGAGGGCGGCGGAGCATGATTGCGGTTTCGATATGGGCGTCGTGGAGGGGTATCAAAAGGTTGATCGGTTAAGTAAGTGGTCGCGGGTGGGTGGTATATCGATTATAGTACTCGCTCGCTGTTTCGTACAAAATGCGCAGTGTAAAAATGCCCAGAAATCCTGGTTGTCAAAGTTGCGAAAGAATCTTGTGGTCGAGAGAGAGCTCAGGAAGCTGGTCGTCGCTTTATCGGACGCGTTGTTGCGCTTTTCGAGAATTCGAAAAGCGCGCCGCCGGACTTAAAGTGGCAGTCAAAGATGTCAGGGTTAGGGTCACTTACACGCCTCACTTTTACCCTCTCTGGACAGACCGACCTATGCTTATGATGGTGGCACTGGTCATTTCCTTTACATATTTTCCATAACGTGCGCTTCATCATTCTGCGGTTCTCTCTATTCTGAACTGAGCGTAACATACAAGTCACAGCTCGGTGCCTAAACGAAACCAAGCCATTCCCATTATTCTACTCGACAGAACTTTGGATTCCAGTCCAACGACCGTTCTGTCCAGATCAACCCCCCTCTATCATGTAATACAGTGCCAGAAAATACCCCAAAAAACTTCACATACACCCAAAAACTGCCCTTCTCTCCATCCTCCAAATCTACTCTCCGCTCCTGGGCGCAAACCCCAGCTTCTTCTCCTCAACATGAAACATGGTCCAGTGAGCCTTGAAGAAAACATTTCCATAAATGGCAAAAGGGAAGCCCCTCGAGCTCTGAACACCACCATAGCAGATGGTTGCAGTAGCAGGGTCATCCAAATCAGCCGGGGCAAAGTTGATCAGTTCACCGGGAATCACAGCCTTGTAGCTGCTAATGTACAGAGTAAGATCTGGCAAGGTGGAGTTGCAAGGGAAGACCCAGCCGCCGTAGATCTTGGAGTCGTAAGCATTCGCAACCTGGCGGTAATAAGCCTGGACGATGGCCTCGGGAATCATAAGGAGAGTGGTGCCCGTGTCAGCAATGGCAGGGTGCTCGAGAGGAACGACAATGTCCGAGATGGCGCTGTTTGTGCCGTTGAACCCGGTGGAAAAGGCCGTGCCCTTGAACTTCCAGTAGCCGCTGGCGGCGTCGACGGGGATCATGGTGAGGTTGCCGAGGTACTCGGTCTCGTCAATGAAGCCGAAGTTGTAGTTGCCCTCTGTTTCGTGGTTAGCAAGACAATCTGGCAAAGAGAGGGACCAGGACATACCCGCTGCCTTGCGGATGTTGGCGGTGAAAAGGGGCATGGCCAGCGACTTCAAGGCGTTGTCAATGAACGTCTTCTGCTTGTTCGGGCGGACCATGTTGATGGACTGGAAGCCAAGTCCCAAGATACCCGAGGAATGCTCATCGCGGGTGAAGGACGAGGAAACCTGGTTAGCGGTCTCTACCGCCTGATTCTCCACCTTGATACCCCCCACGTCGACCGTGTCAAGGTAGACCTCGCCGGATGAACCACTGCCGTCACCATAACGGATGGACCAAGTGTGGTTCTGGAGCTTTTGTGCCGACGTGCTGTTGTCGATGTGGAACAACTTCTGTCCACCTTGCTGAGACACGGGCGTGTTGCTGCTGAACACCCACAGATCAGAGGATCCCGTGTCGAAGCAAAGGGGGAGCGTCTGAGGAGGGTTCCCAATATCCACCGGGGTCAAGTACTCGACGTCGAAGGGGATGGGAGTAGCAGTCACCTCTCCCTGCCCCGTGTTGTTGTTATAAGGTGCTGTGGCGTTGTCGGGAGCACGGGCGGACATTAACGACCTAGCCCGCAGGTCAAAGCCGATGTCCAAGAGAATCTGGCGCAGCACCATAAGAAGGGTCTCGGGAAGTTCGATATCGTATTTTTCGTAGACGGCAGCGAGGGCTCTGGGGCCTTTGCCGTGCTGGTTGAAATGTACATTCTTGATCTGGGCGAGCTTGAATGAGCGGCCCTCGATGTTGCGAGACTTGACATCAGACGGATTCGCCTGGAGGACCTGAGGAGCAGCAGCAGCCTCAGACGCAGTCAAGAGGGACACCGCAGCGACCGCAGCCCAGAACTTCATAATGAATGAATGAATGAATGAATGACTATGCCGTCAAAGCAAAACCAAAAAGAGAACGAATGAACTGAAAACCAAAAGCAAGGGAAAAAAGAATGACGCGAGGGAGTGTGATATCCCTCGAGTGTGGTTGACGAGGGAAAACTAAGGAATGAGGTTCAAGTGAGTTCAACACTTGGCAAACAAAAAGACCAGTCTCGGTCGAGCGGTCATAGACTTATATTTAAAACCAAGGGCAGCCCGTGTTAGGTGCTCCTATTTAAAACACAAAACCCCATACCGATCAACCGGAACGGATGGAATGCATTTCAACAAGGTCAAGAGACCAAGAGGCTGGTAGCACCACTCGGTGCTCCGCAAATGAGTCTCCATTCCTGATCTTCAACGGTTCGAAACCGCCAAAGTCGGTTTCTGCGGTTATCCCAATTTGCAGCGGTGGACCTTGGAGGAACACCTGCAGCAAACCGATCGCCCTCCAGGGACCTGTTTGGTGACCGCTAACGGTGTGGTACGACAGAAAATCGTTGGTGGTGAAAAGGGCCGCTCGCCAACCAGCATGTCGGAATGCTGTCGCCCCCGTGAAATATCTCGGCCATAAAATTAAGTATATCCGGGTGACCTGCCACCAATCATCACTTGAGGGAGAAAAGCTTGTTTATTTGAAACAAAAGAACTTGAAGACGAACAAGCTCCACCGTTCTCGCATTCAAGAATTGGCCGTCATCTGTTTGTTGGTGAGCCGGTACTCCCGAGTTGAACGTCGATCGGAGGAGGGGTCTCTTCGGTTTTGCTGCCGTGGACCCTGCTCCGCCTCCGGGTCCCCTGCCGATCCGAAAATCATATAAAAAAGGGAGGCCGCAGAGCTGAAGAGGTAAGGTGTGTTTGTGTATATTACACAGCTTGTCGCAACCACGTGTGCGATGCATGGCCTCGGTGTCTTGACTGTTGTGTTTGGTAAATTTGCTAAGCTCGGGCTGGATGTTGGTTGGGTGGGAGAATGAAAAGTTTACACACACATAACCCTAACCCGTCAACTACTCAGTGTAAGAGCGCTGCCTAAGGTCAGACCAGTTGCCACCAACTGCCAGCTCAACCTTTGGATTGTGCGTGAATGCGCTCCGGCCGCCACTCATGTGAGCTTCCTTCAGGCCTAGCAGATGACGCGGCAGCCTGACGAAAGCCTCTTTTCTGAACTCGGGCACGGAGGAAATAGTTGATGGTGAGCTGTCTCGAAATTCTGGCCGGTTCTGTCGTTTTCAGCCATACTTGACAGCTATTTCTAATCACGTCTCTATCTTCTCTTTCCTTCCACAGTCTCTCTTTCAGAACTCAAGGTTGTTAAGGTTCAGCCTCCGTCTCGAGCGAAGTCGTACACCCAACCATAAACTTCATTTCATGAACGCAAAAGAGCAAACTTCGCGTTGTGATTCAAAAAGGCCAAATCTCAGAAGAAAACCCGGAAAAGATGGTTCGCGAACTCCCCAGGGAGATAGATTCCTGCATCGGCTCTTATACCCATCTTCGTGACTTTCCCCGCCAAGATGAAGCCCTTCACATGCTCAAGCGGATCGCCTCCGTTGTCAAGCCCATAATGAGAGCTCGACACTGGAAAGTAGGGCAACTATGCGAGTTTTACCCAGATCAGTACAACCTCCTCGGCCTAAACTACAACAGGGGGCAGCGAATCCTCCTCCGACTTCGATATGCCGGAGACAGGAATCAATTCTTGCCTTTTGAGCAAGTCATGGACACCATGCTCCACGAACTCTCTCACATCGTCCACGGTCCCCACGACCAGGTCTTTCATGCACTATGGAACCAGCTCAGAGAAGAACTGGAGGGTCTGTTTATGAAGGGTTACACAGGCGAGGGTTTCCTATCCAAGGGCCACAAGCTGGGCGGCCAAGTGCCATATTCCGAAATCCAACGCATAACTCGCATTGAAGCCGAAAGACGCAAGGCAGAAAAGGAAGCAAGCAAAAAGGAGGCCGGTCACAAACTAGGCGGCTCAAAGCCAGCCCCAGGTCGGAACATCAGGAACATCATCGCCGATACTGTCGAGCGACGAAACCGCACCGACAAGGGTTGTGGAAACGAGAACCGCAACGAGGAGGAAATCCGCCAAATATCCGAGACCTGGAGGCGAAACGGCTTCAAGACCCAAGCCGAGGAAGACGCAGCCAACGAAGCAGCCATTGCCCAAGCCCTCTGGGAACTCGTCCAAGAAGACGAAAAGCGGAAATACGGCAGCTCTTACGTTCCACCGACAGCTGAAAATCCATACGGCAACGGCGGAGGAACTCTCATCAACGGCGAAGGCTCAAGCAGCAACACTTACCGCCCGCCACAACGACCAAACAGCTACTATCCACCACAACAACAACCAAACACCACCACCACCACCTACCCCCCACCCTCTTCCCGCTCCCGTCCAACCTCAACCCCAGTATCCAAAGGCACAATAACAGAGTACTACTCCCCCCAACCAGCCCCCCGTCCCCCACTAATCGGCGACGGCTTCGCCGGTGGCCCGACATACTACCCACCCCCCCACCAACCCGCCAGACCACCACCGCCAGTTCCCTTCACAACCCGGCCACCACCACCACCACCAGCTACCCCAATCATCCGAACCGTCTCCCCCCCTCCTCTCTCCGACAAAGATGCCTACTGGGAGTGTCCAAGATGTACCTACCACAACTCCCTCCAACGCCCCCAAAACTGCGAGATGTGCGCTGCTCCCGGCCCGGCTCTTGATCCTTCCTCTTCCAGACCACCCCGACCACAACAGCAACAAGAAGTAGTAGACCTCACCTCCTCCTCCAGCCCGCCCCTCCCACCCCGCAAGAGACACACGTCGCGCAGCAACCCCCCCGAGCAGCCAAACCCGCGAAGGAGCAGCAGGAACCCGTTTAGGAATAGCACATCCGCTTCGAGCAGTACGACCACCACCACCAAAAGGAACTCGAGTTCGGTGCCGTCAAAACTTCAACCGTCATATTGGGGGTGTTCGTACTGCGGGAACAGGATGGAAAGCCAGTGGTGGACTTGCAATGTCTGCGGGAAGATGAAGGATAAATCCTAAACCAGCTGGCTAGCGGTGGATCGTAGGGGAGGGAGGGTGTTTTGGTACGTAGTAAGATATGACAAACCGGCTCAGCATCTAAAGGATAGACGTGGACAACAATGAATTAGTGTACTCGCTCAAATCATGACACATAACTTGCTAAAACGTGATAATACGATACGACATGGGTAAGGTTAGGTATGGCGATTTCCCGGGTATTATAAAAGATATGTACGTTACCCTGCTCTCTCTCCTCTCATTCCAACTATCACTCCCAGTTTGCAATGCATATAAATTCCCAACAAATAAAACAGGAATCCAAGAAACCCTTGCCATCCTCATTCCCAAGAATAAAAAAACCACCATCCTGACTACCAACGCCCTCCTCCCGGCATCTCATCCCCACACATTCAAACATCCTTCTTCCCCTCCCCCCTCTCCTCCTCCTTCTCCTGCTCCTCATCCGAATCCATCACCTCGACCGGCTCCCCCCTCGCCACCCACGCCGCATAATCCTCCCTCTCCCTCTTCTCCGCATACCACTGCCCCGCCTGCAGCACCAACACCCCCACCAGCACAAACGCCAAAATAGTATGACTCGCGCTCAGCACCCTCAAGCTCTCCTCCCTCGTCAGCTCCACCTCCCCCGTCAGCGGTCCGTTGTGAACAGCATACTTCTCTCCGCCCTCACCCTCTAGCTGCTCAGCGAGCGCATTCATTGGCGTGACTACGTTGGTGATGTACACCCCCGCAGCGATGAGATAGAGCAACAGGGAGCCGCCATCAAACAAAAAGTTGGACTCGGCGGCGCGGTAGAGCTTGGTGAAAAAACCGAGGAAGCCGACGGCGATGATCATGTGGAGGAGGCGGGAGATCAAAGGGGGGGCGGCGTGCATGAAGCGGAGGTGGGTTTCGATCTGGGAGATGTGGAGGGGGGTGATGGGGTTGGGGGACCAGAGGAGGGGGAAGTCGTAGGGGAAGGAGGCGAAGAGGATTCCTAAAAAGAAGCAGACCGCTGAGAGGGGGGGGGGGGTTAGTTAGTATATGGTGGGTGGGAAAGGGGGGAGAGACAAACGGCCTATGATGAGAAAGGTCGCGAAGGAGCCGGAGCCGCGGTAGTTTTGGGACATGGTGGTTTTATTGGGATCGAGTTTCATTTTGGCCGGTTCAGTGCCCCGTATGTGTGTGAGAGTTGAGGTTGAAGAGCAAGATGGGAGGTGGTCTCGGATTAAAAAGTTAGACAGGTTGCTCTCGCTGTGTTTTGTCTCGCGGGTGTTGTTGACGACCTTAATTACACAAGCTCTGTGAATGTTCTGTACAGTTGAGATGACACGGCTGATATGTCGTCCCCCGCGCGCGCGCAAGTGTGAGGGTCTCTGTCGTGGTGATTGTTCAGCGGATGTTGTAGCAGCAAAAGAAGCTCGGATTCTTCACCAAAAAGAAGCTCCCGCCCGCGACAGGACCAAGCTTCCCGCTGTGCTGTGACATTGGCTTGGAACCCCACTCTTGCCGAGCTCTGGGGATGACGAAATGCCCGTGCCCGAGAGCTAGCTCAAAGTGGGGCATTGCTCGTTATCTTATCAATTACACGCTGACCAACACTTCCCATTTCATCTTCAGCTTCAACAATACCATGATTATTGTTGATAAGATGCGGGCGAGTGTTAGTTATGTTGGCCATGACATGGCAAGCTACTCAGGACACGCATTCATTCCTAATGCAATATCTACATAAAATTCCTAGTTATTGTCTTTGCTGTTGATCATTTCACATCAGGGAGCGTCTCACCATCACAGGCGAGCGAACCACTATACGGTGTAATGGAGCGAAATTGTCTATTCTATCTGTAGGTAACGACTGACTCAACACCTTGTTGTTATCTTTACAAGCTCCACACCAAATATACCAAACCCTACCCCCTTACAGTCTCCAACTAATACTCATCCCCCAACATCTTCATCCCATGCTCATTATACCTCTCCCCCACCACCTCAAAAGTCTTCAACACCGTCTCAATCTCCCTCATATCCTCCTCGCTCAACTCCACCTCCACCGCATTCTCCCTCACCCTCTCCGGCTTCGACGCCCCCGGAATAGGGATAATCACCGGCATCCCCGGCCTCCTCGACAGAGCCAGCACCCAGTTAATCGCAATCTGCGCCGCAGTCAAACCCTTCCTCTCCGCCAACCTCTGCACCTCCTTGACCAGTTCCATGTTCTTCCCAAACACCTCCGGCTGAAACCTCGGCAGTCCCCGCCGGTAGTCACCCTCAGGGATATCCTCCCACCCCTTGATCTGGCCAGTCAACATCCCCCTCCCCAAAGGGCTATAAGCCAAAACCACAATCCCCAACTCCGCGCACGCCTCCAGAACCCCATTCTCCAACGGCTCCGTCTGCCACAAGCTCAACTCAACCTCCACACTCTCAATCTTTGCCACCTTTGCCGCGCGTCTGATCGTCGCGGCGCTGACCTCACTAAGGGAAATCCCACGGATATTCCCCTTTTCCACCTCCCTCTGCAGCGCAGCCACCGTGTCCTCGATCTCAACCTTGGGATCTCTTCTCGCTGGCTCGAACTGATCGATTAGCCCCTTGCCACCAATCTGCTCGACAGAGCGCGCGACTGATTCGGCGACGCCGGCGGGGGAGCTGTCGACTTCAAAGGAAGGGGTGATGCAGCCTTTGATGTTGAGGAGGATCTTGTCCTTGTCCTGGGGGTATTGGGCGTAGTAGGCCTTGAGGAGGGTGAGGGAGTTGTGGGTGGGGGGGCCGTAGAATTCGCCGCCGTTGAGGTAGGTCATGTTGTTGAGGACGGCTTCGCGGATGGCGGCGATGGCTTCTTGGTTGGTGGCTGGCTGGGGGCGCCAGGTTAGGCCCATGAGGCCGAAGCCGATGTTGCCGATGGTTTTGCCTTGGATTGTGTGGGGCATTTTGGAGGGTGTGGTGTTGGAGATTGTGTTGTTGAGTATGGTTGAGGTGATGAGGGTGAGGGTAAGTGTTGAAGTTGAGCTGTCCTGAGATGCGTGTGTGTGTGTGTGTGAGTGTGTGTGAGAGAGAGAGCGTGATGGTTTGACAATCGTTCTTGGATGTGTGTTGAGTTCAGGTATTTGTACTCTTCCCAAGCTCAAGTGGTGACAGCGTGTTGGTGCTCCTGTTTGCTGAATCGCTGGTGGTGACAGCGGAGATAACAGGCCTCTGGATTGGTGAGCGGAATTTACAGCTCAAAGCCACCGGGACTTCGTTTTCCCCTGTCGGTTCCTTATTTCCACTCCTCAGTTTTCAAGGACTCAAAAGGAATCTCCGTTAAACCCAGCGATTACTAAAGCTACAAACCGGACACAGGATGGAATGAAGCCTTTACTTCCTCATGGACAATGTACACACAGCGAGGCTAAGTCCAGGTGTGTCAATTATAGTTAACTAGCCAAGACCTGGAGCCGATTGAATGGCGGGGTGCGGCACTTAGATAAGAGGGGCTAACCACCTTGAAGCCTCTCGGCAATGAATGGACTTGGCATCGTGACAGCTTAAAAAGACGTCAAGTGAGGAGGATAATATCTTGTGTGACCTCACGATGTGTAGCTCATGTGTGAGTAAGCATCTTATCATATCAGATCTCCGGGCCCGAGGGAAGATCAAAATGCTTAACTCCAGCACCAGCCAACCGCAAATAAGTGAGGCAAAGTCGCCCGGAGTTAGCATCACATGATTGACACAATGGCCGGTTCCACCGACTGACATTCTGGCAGGCAACTCGGATGCAGAATGACGCGACCGGGCTCCTTCCGGCAACAAAGGACCAGTTGGAGATAAAGCAGGCAAATCCAGGTTCGATTCTCCAACTTGTTAAATCCGCTCTGGCTGCCGGCCAAGGATCTAGAGCTTCTTTCAATGCATCGTTGCAAAAGTCGCAATATGGCGGCGCACTGACGCCACTGACTGTCCCTCCTGCATCTCTCTGTCCTGCACCTGCTGCGTTGCCCTTCGGTAAATTGTGCCGTGCCACTATAGACTCAGACTGCCTACTACAAAAGACCTTGCCCCGCGAAACATCGAATCATGGCTCAACGAGCCGATACCTCGTCGTCACCCGCTGCGACGTCGCCTGCTGCTCCTCAACCCCTCTCTCGAGAAGGACGAACCCTTCCAAGTCGCCAGCCGTTGATGAGGAAGAAGTCAGCCCAGGACCGGATCAATGAAATCCTAGAGGTCAGTGACCGTTGAATCTTCCAAAATCAGCTCAAGCCCCCGGGTTGTGGCCACCGATACACGAACTTTTGAAGGGTCTTCCCCACACGCGACCAACTCAAACACTTCCCCCCCCATCTTTCCACGCCGCCGCGATTTCAAGATCTTCTTTTCTCGTGACCACCGAATCTCGGGCGCCGGTCCGTCTTGTAATGGCGGCAATTTTTAGCTCCTCTACCAACAACATCTTTGGCAAAAGTGTTCGTAACTTGCTCTTTGCTCTTCAAGTCCGGGATGCTCGAAACGGGTGGATCAGTGTTGCGCGTTGTCAGTACCACCATAAACTCAACGAAACTAACATCTTTTAAATACTCAAGGGCGCTCGAGAACGCGCCGAATCATATGGCCCGGACACGTCTCCCGGTAACCTCAGCCCACGGCTACAACCGCTGCTGGATTCATCGTTGCGCGGACTGAATTATCTTTCCACCAACGCTTCACCACGCACCGGTTCCCCGCGTCTGTCGCCGTCGATTCCGGAGGAGAATGGCGTCGGTAATATCGATGGCGCGGTGACAGCGCAGCCGCAACAGCAACACATCCATTACTACAATGGCACGCAGACGAACCACTCGACGCGGAGGCGATCCACCCGACAGTCAGCCCAGGAGCAGGGCCGGTCGGCGTCGCAAGCTGATGATGGGACGACGGGGAGAAGACATGGCGAAGAAGAAGAGGAAGGTGGTTGGAAGAAGACGTTGAAGTATTTCAGGAGCATAGAGCTCGAGAACAAGGGGAGTGTTGCGAGGGATCACTTGGCGTTGGAACGGACGTTCCTTGCCTGGTTGCGCACGTCATTGGCGTTTGCCTCGATTGGGATTGCGATTACTCAACTGTTTCGGCTGAACACTTCGTTGGCGGATGATGATCACCAGTCGTATACGCTGAGGCATTTGGGGAAGCCGCTGGGGTCGACGTTTTTGGCGGTTAGTATTTTGATTTTGTTTTTGGGGTATAATCGGTATTTGGAGAGCCAGGCGTGGGTGATTAAGGGGAAGTTTCCGGCGAGTAGGGGGACGATCATCCTGGTGTCGTTTATTGCCTTTGCGGTGACGGTGGCAAGTTTGGTTGTGGTTATTGCTGTGCAGGGGGATCATTGAGGTTTATTATGGTGGGATTAAGTATGAGTGGTGGCCCTGAGTTATGGCTGAAGGGGTGTTTTGATGTTGATAGCGTGGGTGAGAACCTTGAGGGTTGGGTGAGGTCATCGCTAGAGCTACGCATGGAGAATGAAAATAAGCTCATGAACGATGACTTGTCCTTACAAGCCCGAATAACCAATGTGAAACAAACTTGGAAAGACCAAATCATGATTAAAAGGATTTTGGTTTTTGACAAGAAAATATTACTTGCATTTCTTGCATGCTGCATCCGTTTGCATTCTCTTTCTCACAAGCAAGTTCCCACCAAACTTGAACCTGGATAAGCTCCCTCACCACAAAATAGTAGACACGCAAAAAGTAAGTTAACCCCTATTATATTATGAACCGTACCTTAAAAACATCACAATTAGGCCGTTAAAGATAGTTACTAAGCCTTTTCAATATTCCCGAAGGCCTGTTAACTATCTTTGAAGGCCTATAAACTGTCTTCAAAGGCCTACGGACCATCCTTGAAGGCATGTCAACCTACTCATAGTGTCTTCAATTATTTTGTGGCATCCCACAGCCGGAGACCCACTCTCTCAACTTCAAGATCAACCTCCCTTCCTCAACCACCACCAGCATCACCACCAGCACCACCACCACCAGCACGTTCAAATCTGAGAAAGACTGGTTCGTTCACTTCAAAAATGGCAATCGATATTCCCACCTTTGCCTCGACGCAGATTTCGCTTCTGGCGGCGGAGCTCCAAGCTGAAGTGGACGAGACGTCGATGCTAGTGTCGCTTCATAGCCCGACTGCTCTCCAGCGCGCGGGGGTTGCGCTGACGAACCTGGCGGTTTTGTCGCAGAGGACGGGGTTGGGGGGGAAGACTGTTGTTGAGGTGGGGCCGGATGGTGCGTTTAGTTGTTCGGGTGATTTGCCCGAGCATGGGATTCGAAGTGGGGATATTGTCTTGCTGGCTGAGCAGCCGGCCGCCAGTGGGAAGAAGAGGGAGGTGAAGGAGTTGGAACGGAAGGGGGTTAAGGGGGTTGTGACGAGGGTGGGGAGGCAGGGTTTGGGGGTTGCTGTTGAGGAGGATGGGGAGGGGGAGGGGGAGGTGGTGGGGGGGGATAGGAGGGTTTGGATTGTTAAGTTGGCTGATGAGGTGACGTGGAAGAGGATGAATGGGACGATGGAGAAGATGGCCAAGATGGCGGAGGGGGAGTACTCTTATTTTATGAGGGTTCTCTTTGGCCTGACCACACCTTCGCCTGTTCCAGAGGATTTGAGCAAGGATGAAGAGGTGGGAGAAGGAAAGATAAAGTGGTTTGATACCAGTTTGAACGAGTCGCAGAAGGATGCTATTAGGTTTGCGTTGAAGAGTCAGGAGATTGCTCTTATTCATGGCCCGCCGGGGGTAAGTTTCTTTTTTTTTCTTGTTTTTTTCCCTTTTCCCTTTTTATATACCAACTTACCCCCCAAAAAGACAGGGAAAACCCACACCCTAATCGAACTAATCCTCCAACTCCTCGCCCTCAACTCCAACTCCCGCATCCTCGTCTGCGGCCCCTCCAATATCTCGGTAGACAACATCGTTGAGCGCCTCTCCCCGCACAAAATCCCCTTGATCCGCCTCGGCCACCCCGCCCGTTTGCTGCCCTCCGTCCTGAACCACTCTCTCGACGTCTTGACTCGCACCAGCGAGGCGGGGGCCATCGTCAAGGACGTCAGGGCCGAAATGGACGCCAAGCAAGCGTCTATTCGAAAAACCCGCTCCGGGAAGGAGAGGAAGGCCATCTACGCTGATTTGAAGGAGTTGCGCAAGGAGTATAGACAGCGAGAGAAAAAGTGCGTGAGTGATCTCGTTGCCAAAAGCAAAGTCGTGCTCGCAACGCTTCATGGCTCAGGGGGGTACCAATTACGAGACGAAAAGTTTGACGTGGTGATTATTGACGAGGCGTCGCAGGCGTTGGAGGCGCAGTGTTGGGTTGCGTTGCTGTCAGCTAAGAAGGCAATCTGTGCTGGTGATCATTTGCAGTTGCCGCCGACTATCAAAAGCTTGAACTCTTCTTCTTCTTCTTCTTTTTTTTCTTCTTCAAAGACTTCTTCAAAGAATTCTTCTACCTCTGGGGAGAAGAAGACTGCAAAGACCAAGAAAGACACCGCCGCGAGCAATACCCCCCCAACTATCCCGAAAGGTGCCACGTTGGAAACGACATTGTTCGACAGGCTCCTCTCCCTCCACGGGCCCAAAATCAAAAGGATGCTCACCACCCAGTACCGGATGCACGAATCTATCATGCGGTTCCCTTCTGATGAGCTATATGAAGGGAAGCTGATTGCTGCGGAGGGGGTCAAGGCTAGGTTGTTGAACCAGCTGCCTGATGTGAGGGATGTTGATGAGACGAGGGAGCCGTTGGTTTTTATTGACACCCAGGGCGGGGATTTTCCGGAGAAGACTGAGGATGAGGAGGAGGAGGAGGAGAAGAAGAAGAAGGGAGTGACGAAGAGGAGTTTGTATGGGGATAGTAAGAGGAATGAGGGGGAGGCGATGTTGGTGAGGGAGCACGTGAGATGTTTGGTGGAGGACGGGGGGGTGAGGGCCGAGGATGTGGCGGTTGTTAGTCCGTATAATGCGCAGGTATGTTTCTCTCTCACTTCTATCCAAGCGGTTACATTGGAGCTGCCAGGCACTGGTTGGTTCGCTTGATGAAGACCCGAGGGGGAGAAACATCATCGGTTGCTACTAGTGTGGGCGTGGAGGAGTCACGGAGACCAGAAGCTTGGTTTGGATGTGACGGAGACCGGATCGTATGGTTTACGAAGAGGTTAACCCCCATCCGATCACTCGGGACGAGGTGATGAGACGGCACGCGGTTCGGACCCGTCTGCCATCCACACCCGCGCTACGAAGAGCTTTACTCATTCTAATGCTCGGGAGACCCTATACGGTTCGGACGGGACGGGAGAGAGTCAAGATCGTCCGGCCCCCATGCTCTCCGCCATGATCCATCCGAAAGATAGGACGACCATGAGATCATTTGTCATCGCTACCAGCAAACAACACCCCTCTCTTTCCTTCTCTCCTTCCAGAATCCGGGGCCGAACATGGACGAGGGTTCAGGCCGTTCAACGTCAAACCTCGAGCATAAGGCAAGAGTACCAAGCTAACCATGCGAAAATCTAGCTCGCCCTCCTGGCCCCCCTCAAAGAGCAATACCCCGGCATAGAACTCGGCTCAGTCGACGGGTTCCAAGGCCGGGAAAAAGAAGCAGTGATCGTCACGCTTGTGCGAAGCAACTCGGACGGAGAGGTCGGTTTCCTTGCCGAGAAGAGAAGACTCAACGGTACGTTTATTCTATTTTATTCTGGCGGATTAGTTCGGGTAGTAGGATCAGGTTGCACGACGTCAGTGCGCTGCATGGCATATACGCATGGCGGCATGAACACACAACACACGTTACTGTAGTGTATAGGAGATGGGCGTCAATGCGAGGGGTATGGTATGGTATGGCATGGCATTAGATGAGATGCTAATTTGGACTGTAATACACTGTAGTGGCCATGACACGGGCAAAGAGGTCGTTGACTGTGATTGGGGATTCGGAGACGGTCAAGAAGTGAGTAGCTACTGCTCCATTTTTGAAACCTTTGCGGATGTAATACTAACACTTGGATGGCAGAGGCAGCAAATTCCTCAAAAAGTGGATGGAGTTCTTGGAAGAGAATGCAGACTTGCGCTATCCGGACCTTGCTTCTCTCACGGCTGCTGCGGCTGCTGCTGCGAAGGCATGAATCTGATGCGGGGGCAAGCGGGAGGGGGGACGTATGATAGAGACATACCAAGTCGCCACCATGAAATCCAAGGAACGAGTTCCCGTTCCCGTCTTTATGCGATGATTCGGACCTGAAAAGCAAGTGAGGTCCAACAAATGGGAGGTTCTCAAGATCTGGTTAGGGAGGGTGTTATCCCCCAGTTGGACCCATGGTCTGGTTGTGGCTGACCCAGGAAGAACGTTTGGTTCGGGCTCGTCGATTCGGAGAATTATTGGCCTTAGTTCCAGGCTAAAAGTGAAGAGACACGCCCCCTCGTTGTGAATCGCGGGGTTTTTTCCTTTCCTTCTGTAAGGCATGACTGAGGCCATGTCTTGAAAGCTCTTGGACATGTTTGGTCACGAATCGCGTGGCTCCAAGACATCACATTGCAGCGTGGTGTTTTGGATCGGAAGAGGTCGTTTCCCGTCGCAATTGGCTGTCTGTTGTCTCTTTTGCTTGGCCCCCGTTGAAGGTGCCTCAGAGAGAGCCTTCTCAGTGGAAAGTTCAGACGGCGACATTTCTGTACCATGTATGACCCCTGCTGTTTCAGATGGCCCCCCGCCTGTGGGGTTGAGTGGCCAGTGCTTCTTGAAACGGCTCGGCTTTGAGCGGGGCTGGTTCTCCCTTGGCGTCCGTCTCCAATAACAGCCATCGAACTGCAAGATGGCAGGACGATTCGCATGAATCGAACCAGATTCTACGGGAGGGAAGAGGTTGTCTAGAACTTCGAACTTTGGAGGAGGGCAGCATGCTTCCGTATCGCTACAGAGAAGGAAAGGCAAGCGAAAGGGAATACCCCGTTGTAATGTGCTTGCCTCCTCGACTGTGCAGATTGGCGAGGGTTGGACGTTTTATCGATAGCAGTGTATCATTGTCCTCGTATTGTTCCGTCCTGCCCTGTCCCCCGCCAGAGAGAGGATGGCACTTTGTGTCACCCGTGCGCCCGCGCTGCTCCCCTGTTGGAGTCTCATCGCGACAATGGGTTGAAGGTGTGTCGGCGATCTGTTTTCGATCTTTTGGCGGGACTGGGAGACAAGCGCGGTGGTTGTTCGGAGACGCGGAGACGACACCACCCTCCTTGTCAACAAACAGCCGCGGTCCTCCCAAGATGGTTGCACAAACTGGGGATTGGTGGTGATAGATGAATTGATGCGCTGCGCTACCGTGCTGCAGCGAGTTATCCTTCTTTGGGGAGGCCGGGTTGCTGGATGGCAAAGCTTGTTGCCCGCTCGCTGAAAGGGCTTGCATGTGCGTGCGGACATAGGCCGCGTATCAAGGAGGTGGGAGACAAGAAGGAGAAGCGCGCATTTATTTGGAGTGTCATCTGCTCACTTTCTCAATTGGACGCACACCCTCAGGTTGGGTGACGATGCTACCTTGCAGCATCCCCCGGATGACATGTTTCTGTGGGAGAAGCGGAGATCTTATTCCAGCGACCCCGACAATAACATGATGGACCCCTCCAGGATTTTGGAAGTTGAAGGACGGGAATGATGACATTTGGCGAAGATCAAACTTGAGCGATAGAAGTGATGATGAAAGACCGGGCCTTCGATCTGGTCCGCTCCTCCCTTGCTCGGTTGCTCTTGCGGTCAATGGCCAGCTTCCCTCAAAACTGGAAAGCGTGGGGTTGGCACCTGCATCTTGCTTGAGAATATATCGACCAGCCGCGGTGGTGGAGTGGAGATTAGGTCTCACACACAACCTCCAGACTCCCATATCCGATATCGTCACCACCGGGCCACCTTCATTGTGTCGTTTGCGATATCCGCATTGACGTTGATATCTTTTATTGTCGTTTCTTTTTGCACCGTTGGTGGAGTTGGTTGATCTGGACTGCTCAACGAACCCCTGGACAGCGCGGCCACCCAGCGATACCAAAGCAGGTATAGCGCTGACTGGGGCTCGCGCTGCGCAAAAGCCACGCGATGGCCTGGTTGTCTGTCTTCCCTTGCTTCGAGTATAGGTACTCTGTATCTACACAGCGCACAGGGTGCTACAACCGAGTGTGGTTCACCAAAGGGAACATTGCACAAGCGAGCCCCCCTAATATCGCGGCCGGCGATTTCAGGGATTCCTTCCAGAAGCTGCAATGGATAGATGAAGCTGCCCGCAAGAGGGCATGAAAAAGGGCGGCACAGGGCATCGCCGAAGGGATTCTACAACAATGCGCCCAATTCCAGCCTCAAGCACTCGGCAGCCGCTTCCGCGATGAGTTGTCCAACACCCACTTCGAGGTGCAGATGGATGCAGGCACGCGCCGGAATACAACTTGCCCCTCCTGCCTGACTGTGACTGTTCTGGAACCGGCCAGCAGTTCATCGCATCTCTATTCCTTTCTTTTTCGACCAACCATACTTGAGCCACTCTTCTGTCTGATCTTGGTCGGGCATCGGGGAAAACATCTACACCACAACCTATCAAACTAACGGACTCTTCACCAGCCGTTGCAAGGGTTCGAGGGACCCCGGCAAAGCCCAAGACAAGACAAGACCCACCGCCTCCGTTCTCCACCGCAGCGGCCCCAAGCGCAACCCCCCCCTCACCATCCCCCTCCCCTCCATCACCGTCGCATCAAGTCTGCGATCCTTGTTCTTGCAGCAGCGCCGCCGCCGGGCAACCTGGAGCAGTCAAGAATCCGCCGCGCGCAGCATTAAATATCCGCCCACTGCCCACTGCCCAGTGGCGCGCTGCCTGCGGAAAAGTGATGGGGCGACGTGCTTCTGTCCAACTGTTTACACTGGCCTGCACCACCCTCTGCAGCTCCGCGTCGACCCGGTGGGCCAGGCAGGTTATAGGTTGTTGATAGCTCTCTGTCCTCGGTTCTCTTGCCTTCAGCCGGCATCGCCTCCACCCCGTCTCACAGCAGCAACAGAGGAGGAGCCGCATTGCTGGCCATGTGGAACTTGTAACGGTGAGACGTTGGAAGAAGGAAACTGTGCGTCGGGACCTAGGATTATCCTCCGCAAGGCACTCTGGAACCGGCGAATCACGACTCACTCCTCGCCATCAACACCTGTTTTGTGCCCAGATGGCTGTGACAGTCGAAGCCCATATCTGCTCACTCTAACCCGATTCCTTCATCCGGCCCCTCCCTCCTTTCCCAAAAGCCTGTCGTTACCGTTATCGAAAAAAGGGGAGAAAAAAAAAAGTCCGTTGTAGACAACGCCGATCAATATGCCGAGCATATTCGGAAGGTCTGGCTCCGGCACTCCGGCCGGGGCCCGTGCCAAGACCGGGAAGTCGATCCGAGGTGCCATCATCTCGGCCCCGATCCCGATACCCAGCACTGTCGATGATGACGAGTTCCCCATGCGCAAACTCGGATCTGCAAAGGCATCGACAGTCACCGACGAAGAGTTTCCGATTAGGAGACCGGGAACAGGAATTGCCACGCCTTTACCCCTGGCTGATGAGCATTCGCCATCATTGGACGGGAAGCACGAGCGCGACCATGAAAAGGGAAGCGGAGACGAGAGGGATCTTCCAGACGAGGTGGTTCCCGTATCCTCCATGTTGGGCGGCGCTGTCGACAAAGAGACTGGCGAGATCATTCCCGAAGCGCCGTCAGATCCACCACCTGGGCCTCCGTCTCGCTTGAGTACTCCGGCCGGGGCACCGCCGGCACCACGAACTGCGTCCACAACGCCACCAAATCGCACCTCACCGCGAGGACCTTCGCCGCAAGGGATTTCGCCATCTAGAGTGTCACCGCCGAGGGCATCACCACCGGCAAGAAGAGCAACACAGCCAGCAATCAGCACGCAGCTCAGGTACTCGACCATCAGTGATGCGCCTAGCAAAAACACCACTCAAAGCACTGTGCCGCAGCGGAAGAAATCCACGCTGCGGTCGGCTTTGGGAAAGCTATTCGGCCGTGGCAAGAAGAAGCAAAATGTTCAGGACACCAGCCCTACGCCGATCCCGGAAGTTGAGCCTGTCAGCTCGATACAGCATAGAAGTGTATGTTAACCAGAAGCGAGAGTAATTTGGTCATTTTTGGAGTGCTAACATGAAAAGTTGTAGGATCCAACTGCACTCGGCAGGCCAAATCACCCACCAGCAAAGCGCTCAGCTTCACTTCCCATCAGCGAGTTCGACCGGCCCCTGAGGTCACATTCTATCGGCCCTGACGACATCATGGCCATTGAGAGCGCACGAAACTCGATGCAGTTGGCAGGAGAGGGTGGTTCATCTGTTGCAAACCCGAATAATCGTCGCAGAGCTGCAACGACGACCAGCCGGATGATGTTCCAGCAGCGTTTGCGCAACCCAGAATGGGGAGCCGGTCTATCACCACGACCTGCGAGTGCTCAAGGACGGGGTGGAAGTAGCAAGGAGGAAAACCACGCCGTTACGCACGATCCGGATGAAATCGGGCGTGCCATCACCAGTGATAGCGGCCACGGTCTGCGGCGGCGGTCTAGGAGCTTGTCTGGTCTTCAGGACTTTGCCAATGCCCGACCTGTGACGACCCGGAGACGAAGTGATGAGATGCGTTTCTGGCGGCAGTCATACGACCCAACCGGTCTCATGTCGCCATTATCATCCAATGCCCCTGACATTGACGACACAGGCGTGGTGGATGTCAGCGCCCCGGACAGCCCAGCAGTCGAAGTGCCACCAAAAACACCGCCGCAGCCCTTCAATTTTGGTCTGCTGTCCAAAGACATGCTCGGCATGAAGATAACCCATGCTGCCAACTTGGACACCCGAGTCGGAAACCTCGAGTCGCGAACTCGCAAGCTGGAGAGGGTAGTCACCCTGCTCTGTCACGCCGTCCCCGGATTCAGAGGTCCCCTAGGTGATACCACTCCCACTCCTGCAACGTCACAAAACGAACCCTTCCCAGTCCAAAAGAAGGTCTCGGTCCAGCAACCCCAATTCGGCTTTTCCACCTCGACGCCTCCACCAACGATACCAGCCATCTACAATCCCATTCCCCCAACGCCCGTCCAACCAAGCAGCAGCTCCCGCAA